CAAATGTCTTCCATTCCCAGGCTCATCTTTTGCTTTAGACTTTGGTGAGCAATAATATTAGTAGTAAAAGTTAATGAAATGTTAGTGGCAAAAGTTAATGAAGACTATGTGGAATAAGGCTAAACATGGACTAAAACATTGATAAATTAGAGTTTTAAGGGAAATCAAAAAGCAATTTTTTCTGGCAACTGTTTATGAATCTTCCTCTCCATTTAGACAAGATCTTACTTGCAATCAGTTGTAAAGGCATTGTACATCAGTCTAGAGTAACCAGCACAGCAACTGTAAAAAGACATAATTTTAGAGTTTGTCTACTTACTTTTAGGTGATTATATATCTCCCTTGTGTCAAGGAAAGACAAGTTTTTACTTTTTGAAAACTATGTATCTTGCTGCTGGACTAAAGAGTGCAGAAAATGCTTGTTTGCTGCTGAGTCACCAGTGAAATCATTAGATTCGAGTATCTGGAGCCTTGAACTGCAAGCTGTAGGTTGGAAGAACTGGAGAGCCAAGAGCCACAAACACTTCCATCAGCATGGTGCCACAGTGCTGAGCTCCTGGTCCCCAGCTTTGTCACATGTGTGCACATCTCACAAAACCTGGAGAGAGGAGTTCTCAGTCACATCCCCATCTCAGTCCTGGCTAGGATGCTTTAGAGCATCTCAGCAGGTTGCTGTTTAGTTGTCAAATGCTCCTTAAGGGCAAAAAGAGATGAGCCTGAATTTGTCACAGCATGTGACACTGACAGAGCTAGAGCTGCTCAGTGCTGTGGTGTTATTTAGGATGTTGTGCCAGCATCCTGGAATTTATTGCCCACATTTTGCCACGTGCTTGAAGGTGAGCTGGCACCACGTGAAATGTCACGTTGGCCAGGTAATCCCTTTAGCATGTGTTTAAGCTATTGTGGGATTGATCATGCTGGGTCTGGGCTGAGAACCACACTGAGTTTACACTGCCCAGTGAATCCAGCAAGAGTTCAGGTATCTGCACCTTAATGTGTCACATCCTCCCCAAAGGGAGGCCAGGGACCTCATCTGCTGTGCTTACCAACCCGCATTTCACTCTGCTGCACTTAGTTTCTCACAGATTGCTTTTGGTTTGCTCAAGATAAGTCCACACTACAGAGAATTGATTTGGAACACCATAAAGTCAAGTGTTACCTGCATCCAGTGATGTTTCATCTCTCTTGTCTGCTATAATTACTACAGAAAGCAGGATGTGATAATGGTCAAAGTCAGAATTAATGAAGGAAAAAACCCCAAACATAAAAGGCCATTGTATAGTGCAGAAGGATTTGAGCAGAAATGTAACAAGTTCTCATGAAAAAATTCCCTGTGAGTTTGTAAATACTGATTTTCTTCCTTCTTGCAGTTTCTCACTCCATGTCCACAGTGGCTTTCCATTCCCTGGTGGTAAGCCAAGGCAGAGGAAATCCAGCCAGTCACTGTCCCCAGCATGGTCTCTCCCCAGATCATTCCTGCCAGGCAGACTGGGAATCACCCTCATGCTGGGATTGTTGAGTTTTCCTGGTGGTTAGGGCCTTTTACAGCCTTTCACTGCCAGTTCTGTTCAACTGCTAAATGGTAAGAGCCAAGCAACTGTGCTGTTGAGCTGGTTTGGGCTGCTCCACTGCTCCTGTTCCTCATTTGTTTCTCTGGAGGTCATGTAGCACTTAAGGTGGGTGCTGTCTTTGCCACAAATGCAGGACTTTAAGATGTTCTGTGGGTTCTGCTCATTCCTTCCTGCTGGTCAAAGACTTTTCTCTCCTGGTACAAGTTCAGCACTCTCAGCCACAAGTGCTGTGACCAGGGAGAACATGGATGGATGGGACTGTAGGAGCAGCTGGCTCCTGTGTGATCTGTTTTGTCATCCCCTTTGCTGGTTCACTCCAGCTAAAGAGGCACCTGGGAGAAGTTTGGTGTTTACCCAAGGCACACCTTGGTGTTCCAGCCCAACCTCTGGGTAATGCTGGCCATTAACTTTGCAGTGTTTGCCATAAACACTGTCACAAGGTTGTGTATCAAACATCTCATTTAGAAATGGTTGGTCTCGTTACAGAATTGATACATGAAGTAGTCATTGCCAATGCCCAGAAAAAAACATGATCATTCCTAAAAATAGAAGTGTGACAGCTCATGACTTGGTTATTGGGTCTTGGTTAGAGAGTGTTTCATTGATTTCCAATGTGGTGCATGTTATTTTTAAGTCATAGCCTATTTTTGGTCTTAGGAAAATTTTGCAAAAAGAAGGAGATATTGCATCATATCCATTCAGTAAATATTTTAGTAATAACATGAAATAGGTTGTAAGCAACAGGTTAAGAATTTCCTTCATGGAACAAAACCTGCTCATCAGCTTGCTAAGGATTATCCCCCCAAGTTTGTGGGAATTTTGGGTCAGTGTCAGGAAATTTTCTAACATATCTTTTGCCTTATAGGTAATAGAATATTTTTAGTATTAAAATAATCTGAATTTTTTACAGATAAACAAATATGGTATGATAATAAGTGAGTCTGTTTGAAGTCACAGATATATTTACTGGTTAATTGGTGACTGTGACCTGTCTATATCCTCATGTGTGGTTCTGTATTCCCTCTCTCTCCCTGTGCCCACCCATTCCTGTGCAATCAGGTAAGGGCTCACACCACGTTGCTTCTGCCTGCCAAAGCAGGGGCATTTGTTTGAGTCCTTCCTGGCCAGAGATTGGTCACAGGTCTGACAATAACATCTCTGAGACTACTATGTTGTCCTTAATTCAAGTTGAACTTGGCCAGCAGGCTCCAAACTTATCCGAGTGGACAAACAGGCAGGGAGCTCAAGCACAGTGACTGCAGAGTCTTGGGAAATGAGCTAAAAATAATAGTGTATTTATTTCTGGAAGAATGAAATTGGGTTTGATCTACCAATCTCTTGAGCTAATAAGGGTAATGGAAATGAGATTACAATGGCTGATTTATTATTTCTGGTGGCTATTAATTATTGGGTTTTTCTTTTGAGTAATTAAAGAAGAATTTTTCCTGCTTTAAATGAGTGCACTAGGTCTCATTAATCTGAAGTCTTAAAAATATATTCTTAACCTGGAGAGCCTAAGAAAATGCTAGTTTCCTTGTAACTGTTCATTTGCAATGTAAGACCATGAAGCTACTCTTGCAAAAGCTTTTTTTGGCTCTTTTCATGTTTCTGTGAGTGTGTAAGTCCTATTTACACCTTGGCTCTTTATTGGCATCTTGGTTCTGCCTTCTTCTGCTTCTCTCCTGGACAGGCCAGAGTTCCTCTGCAGAATCAGTCAAATAGAGGCATGTTGCAGTGACTTTAGGTGGTAGCCCAGCTTTTAGCCCTGAGGGCATGTTGTGGAGGCAGCTTCCTGCCATGGATGAGCCAGTGATGCAGGGAGCTGCTGTGGGTTACTGCTGACACAAGTGTGCTCCGACAGCAGCAGGATGATGGCCTTTAAAAATAGGACCTCTTGCCATCTTGTGTTCTTGTCAGTGTGTCACAAATGTCATAAGATCAGGTTTGTTTTTCCTCCCATTTTTCTCTTCTGGTTATTGCCTTCATCAGGGGAATGGACTGGTTTTGTTGGTGTGGGGTTTCATGCTGGCACTGGCAGGACAAGAAGGAGCAGAGCTGTGCAGGGGTTCCTCGGGGCTGGGCTCTGCAGTGCTGCCCACTCCCAGTGCTCTGCTAGGGGACATTTCATCTTTCCAAGGGTAGAAACACCAGCTGCCCACAGCACTGCAGCAGTGCAGCCAGGACTTCTCACCCTTCCTCCCCACAAGATGAAGGAGCCACGCTCAGGCTGTCGAGGTCCCCGCAGCCCATCTGCCCTCAGGGTTCCTGTCCATGGCTGTCAGCACGGCCACAGAGGAAGGTGCTGGATCCAACAGCTCATAGAGATTGTTGTGAGGAAAAACCAAGCCAAACAAATCAAATCTTCTCCCTGTGAAACTCAGCTGAGAACTGATGTAAACACAAAGTAGGGAGAAAGAGAAGGGCAGTGTTTGGTCAAACCAGGTGGCTGAATGACTCAAGTGCCTCCTGCCAGGCTGCTCAGCTGGCCCAAAAGCTCTCCCTGAGCTCTGCAGGGTGCATGCCAGAGGGCTCTGGCTGCCTTTGGGAATGCTGCAGTGCTACCAGGCCAGCCCTTCAGGCTCTGGCAGAAGCCAAGGCTGTGTTTGGCACCAGGAATGACCTTAGTGCCCAAGTGGCTCATCCAGGGACTGTGCCCATTGCCACTGACTGCCAGGTGACAGTGGGCTGTGCCCTCAGCTGGCTGCCTCCCCTGGGGAGCATTTATCAGGAATGGTGGGCAGGATGGGTGCTGGGGACATCACCTTCCTCCAGCATGTCACTGGGAGCAGGTGGGATGGCCCTATCCCCTCTCCACAACAAGGATTATTCAGCTGCAAAACTGGATTACTAGGAAGCTTAATCTCTGGCCTAAACTGCCATCCAAGTCAAAGGTGGGTTCTTTATTGCTTGTAGTAAATACCAAACATGTTCCCAAGGCTCTGTAATTAACCTTTTTTCTAAAGGGGAAGTCAATTCCCACAGTTTCCCTGCAGAACTGCATAGCCTTGCATCCTGTCTGCAGAGAGCTAACATTTTTCATCCTTCAGCAACTCCTGTGGGGAATATTTACAGCTGGCAGCAGGAAGGTCCAGCTCAGAGCAAGCTCCTGCAGGTACCATTTCCGTGACAATTTACCTTTGAACATTGGCCCTGCTGTAGGAAAGGGGAGTTTAGGAATATTCTATTTTGCTTTAGGAAAGCAGGACCCAAAAAAGGCAGTTTCCAGAAGGGATTAAAAATTTGAATCCTGAATCCAATAGCTGATAGGGAAATCTGTTTTAGAGCAATGAAACCCACTCAGACCCATCCCATACCTCTAATTGCTAATTGGCCAGTGGTAATCTGCACTCTTGGGGTATGTGATAGAGAATCCAGGAAATGAAGAAATGGCAGGAATTTGACCTTTCAGCAGAAAATTCTGCAGAAAAACATATTCTCAAGTAAGTTTATATTTCCAGATTTCCAGAGAAGTAAACATTCTCCAAAGGTACTCTAACGAGCAGATCCATAGCAGAGTAGACCAAATGGGTTTTTATCTGCTCTACATGCTGTCAGGCAGCCAAGATTTATCTCTTTACCTAGGAAAATGGAAAAATCAATGTAAAAGAAGGAACAGGTTAAGTTTTAAGAGTAAAAAACCAAAGCTTTTCTCATGTGTCCATAATTTGATGCCATTTTTCACAGAGGGTTTGTCCATTCTGTCAGCATCAGAGGAGCTGGTAAGTGCAGGTGAGCATGGGGGGACTCACTGCTGATCTGGTCTGCAGGGCTGGGGGGAGGTATTTGTGTGCTGATGTTATTGGGGGATGAGCTAGGAGGTGTAAAACTCACTTTGTGCCACAGGGAAGCTCTGGATTTGGAAAATTCCCACTTTGTTTTAAATTAAAGGAAATTTGATTGTATTTCAGTAATTTTTTTTCTGAATTGATGTTATGTTTCTTTCAGAATTGGAATGTGAAAAATGTCAAGTGTGATACAAGAACCCTTAATGTAAGAGAATCACAGAATCACAGAGTGAACTGGGTTGGAAAAGAGCTTTGAGATCATCAAGTCTGACCTATGACCTAAGACCTCATCAACTAAACCCTGGCACTGAGTGCCATGTCCAAGCTCTTTCTAAACTGTTCTGTTTGGAAATAAACTTTTAAAACTTTTGACCTGTGAGTGAAACACTGGAATTACGGAGCTGACTGAAAAAAATTCCAAATTTAGAAATAAAAGCTGTTTTCTGGGTTTAAACCCACTTATTGCTCTGATATGGAACATTTTCAAGTTATCTTTGCAGTCACAGGCGACAGAATACTTTTGCCAATGCTGAGACATGGAAGCAATGCATGATGCTGTCCTGGATGCTCCTGGGAGTTGTGGCAGTATGGGTTTGTTTATATTTACAAATTAGTTGGACTTGTTCTTGGCACTTGTTTGGATTTAGCTTAAGAATAATCCATATTGTCCAAATATCTTCCTAATAATAAAAACCCACAGTCGCTATCAGAGCTGAATTCCAATATTTCACTGCAAAGTAGCTGGAGAAGTAGCTATTGCCTTAAATAAAAATCACATTTTCCCAAACCAAGCTGTAAGCAGTGAGAATTGTTGATTTTCAAGACTTTTAAAACTGAGCCAATAAAATATGCTGAATCTTACCTTATCTACACTTCCAATACCAAAAAGCATTGACATCTCTCAAACCGAATTATTGTTTTTTAAAACACAGTGAAAAGAGAATGTACCTCTGGAAATTTAGCATTGTGGAAAGAATGGTTTCTTGAATAAGGATATTGTAAAACCCATCAGAGAGAAAAGTGCTGCTAGGAGGGGGATGTTGCATAAGGTGTCTGAGATAAAGGTTTTACTGTTTTTCGTGTTCTCATAAAATTTTACTGAAATGGAAGATTTTTCTCTTTAAATGTTCATTGTTATGCACATGCTTTGCAGAGATAATAGCTACCTTTGCCTAATCCTCATGGGCTGATTTGAATACAGAATTAGTATCATTCTCCAATTTCTTTGAACCTGGGGGAAAAGCATGAGCATTTATTTCAAAAGAGTTTGTGAGTTTTAAGTTCCCCCAGACATCAGAGAGATTTTAGTCCATGACTGAAATCAATTGCAATATCTATTGGCTTTAATTTTATCAGGACCCAGAACCTGATTTGCTTTTCAAAGCAATTTAAATTTTTCAAACTCAATTCGAAATTTTTTTTTTTTTGAAAATGTAAGCATTTTTGTCTTCTTCAGCACAACCTATAAATGTACTTTGTATGTGGGAACACCTTTTGTAGTGAATGGTAGTTCTATGCAAGTTTCTTTTTTTTAAGGCTGGTTCTGAGAGTAGCACATTCTGTGCTGCAGAACTTGCCCTGCTGGCCTTGGGGGGCTGTACAGCCCAACCAGTGCTGTAAGGGAGCACCATGAGGGTGCACTGTCACATTATGGGTGTCAGGGCTCCAATTCTTGTGCTGAACAAGTATTTTGATTATCTAAAATGGAGTCAAAAATTCTGCTTGTTGTCCTGCTGCTCTGTGTGAAGATCATAACCTCAGACCTGCAGCATGAGTAATTATAGTTTTTCCTTAGCTAGGAGTTATCTTTAAAGAAATGCAGTCACTTCAGCCCTCTCCAGAGCCATCCTTGAAGTAGCTGCAGTGAATGGTTGATGCAGAGCCCTGTCTTGACATTGTGAGGCAAAGAGATGAAGCCCTTGTAAGACGGAATGTTTAATTTTTCCTGTGAGTCACTGAAGGTAATATAAACATCAGTCTCCAGCCCACAGATATGTCATTCACTTTACAGAACGCAGCAGCTCTCTTCAGGCTGGTGAGGAGGCTGATGTAAACAAAACAGGATTCTGAGGAGGCATTTCCAGGATTCTGCAAAGGTTTGGGCTGGAGCTGGATGTGGCCAAAATGCAGGTCTGCACTGTGGGTGGCTCTGGGTGCTGCTGCCCGTGCTGCTGCTTTCCTCAGGGGCTCAAACCCCTGCTCAGAAAAAATAAATGTTTCATTAAATTGTCTAGTCAGGCAAAAAGTGATGTCTCTACTTAGATTTATGGATATGTTTAAAAGACATTTCTTTTATTAATGGGACTGAAAGATGTGCTGAATTTTAAACACACCTTGAAATACTTTCTGAAACAAAGCAACCTTAACTGTTTGAAAGCTTTCATGTGAGCTCAAGGCCACCTTATTACAGTGCTGCAGGGACAGTCACATTTGTGCTTGGAATTACATTCTTCATCTTCTGGCATTGTTGCATGATCCTCAGCTGAAAATTGTGTTCATGGATCATGGAATGAGCACTTAATTTTAACCTTGATGAAATCTTACTGATTACACAATAACTTGTAATTTATTCATTAAAAATAGATGGTGGGCTCCCTCGTATTTTGATTAACCTAGTAGCTTTCACAGTAAGAACTGAATTAAATCAGAAACATCACAACAACTTTAAATATAATGATCTGGAGGGGTACTGAGTGCATCCCTGGAAATGCTTTTAGTTATGAGACACTTAATTTGCATAAGTAACCACTTGGCAGCTGAAAAAAAACACCAAAACCCTATGGAAAACCTTCCACTATGGAAATTATCTTAAATCTTCTAGTCATGCGTGAGAGGCTCCATCAGTTGTCTTTTGGCTTTAACTAGACATGTTTTCAGTGAGAGAAGATGTGAAGGACAGGGGGCTCTGACCTCCTGTAAACCTGTGAAGGAAGTGACAGACAGTAAGATGTAAACCCAAGGACTACAGCCAAGATACAGTTTGATTACAGATGCACTGAGTGATTTGGAAAGATAAACTTTGCATGACCCTGGGAAGAGGAATGCTGCTGAACGCTCAGGATTTCAAGTGAAGCCACTGAAGCATTCAGTAGTTCAAGGAAAATATTGTCTCTTTAGGGCTAAAATGGAAATTTATATCCCTTTTTTGAAGTCTGGGCATGCAGGTGAATGAGCTGTGCCTCCCTCCTGGAGGCAGAGGTGCTCTGTGACTGAGGTATTACTGCTGGCTGTGGCAGTGGGAGGGGGAACTGGGCTTGGGAACAGTTAAAACTCAGTGTTCCCTTTGCTGGAACACCTTGTGAGGTGTACCTGGGCTCAGGTGAGTGTTTGGGCAGCTGCCAGAGCTGCTGTTGGTGTCTCAGGCACGAGCAGCTCAAGAAAGCTGTAAAGAACAACATTGGGAACACTTTCCCCTCTGCATCTCCTTGTCTTCTTCCCATTCCCCATCCACCTTCTTTGGAGAAAATGTGGATGCACATTTTGGGAATGCTGTAAGTAAAGAACTATCTCTTATCATTGTTTTTACCTTAAAAAGCAGAAAAGATAAGGAAGTTGTTTACAGATGTTAATTGCTCTCACATTTGGAATTCTTGTGTATTTCTGTAGAATAAGTGATGATATTTATTGCTTTGCCTTTGCAGAAATCTGGGATTTTGTAACACTACAGCACAATTTATATCTATGGTTCTCAGTGATGTAAAATGCATTAATGATGTTAATCTTTATTACATTAAAAGCAGCTTTACAAGAAAAGACATCAAGTCAATTTTGCTGCAGCATTTCTCTTTGTAATTGAGCCTTTGTTCTCAACCTAAAAGTGCACCAATATAATTTTACTCATCTTTTCTGTTGAAATTCAACTGGAATTTCAAGAATCTGAAGTAAAATATTATTTAAGACCTAGGCTGTAGCAAAACCTTTTCCCCAGAATGTAAGTACTAAGGCTTCATCTATTGAGAATTGTTGTTAATGACTGAAGTAAACAATCCTATGTATCGTATTTAGCTCTGGAACCTGAGGAAAATGGCTTTTACACACTCTGGGAATTCACCATGCTTTGTTTGAAGGTCACACACCTTCACTCCATCATGCTATCATGCTTGCTATGAACTCAAGCTGTGCCTCAGTACTTTTTCACTGAGAACTCTCACCTTGATTGCTTCATGTTAATTGAACAATTTAGGGCTTTGCTTATTTTAATAGTTCAGACTTATGATATTCATCTCTTCTATGCAGTAAGGCAGAAATACTTTCCAGTCTCTGTGGCCACTGGGCAATTTTCTCTGCAGAACCTTCCTGTGTGGAAAAGCTGCTGAAGGCTGTTCCCTGGAATGGAACCACTTCACTCTCAGCTCCTCCAGCTCTCATTTCATGCAGGTGTAATTGCACTGCTACTGAGGAAATGGTTTTTGACTTGTTCCAAGGTGCTGGGAAAACGCAGCCTTTCAGTTAGACAAAGGGAAGAGCTCTTGCAGGAGCCTTCAGCTGCCATCAGCAGGACACAGAATGATTGCTTTTGATGTTAGATGGCAGAAGATGTGCTCTGAGGGGATTTGGGAGGAGAATGGGGACCCCAGAGCAGAAGGTGAAGTATCTTCTAGTCTCTTGTGCACATTTTTGTCTCCTAACAAGGGCTGTGGTGAGCCAGGCCTGGGCATTTGCCTGCTTGCTGTGCTGATGGATCTGTGTGTGCCGTGGGCATGGCTGAAACCGGCTGAGGGAGATGGGCCCCAGACAGGTGAGGTATCCTGCTGGGGTGAGACAGAACTGAATTGAACAGAACTGAACAGAAGCCATATCCAGGAAAGGCAGGGGTGGGGATGAGGAGCTGCACTGTTGTGATGTTGGGTCACTCTGACGGGAGCTGCTGGAGCGTGGGTGCACTGAGAGCACAGCAGTGAGTGCCTCAGAACCCTGCTGGGGGCTCTCCTTGCTGTCCCAGATTCACTTGGCTCCAGTTTCCACAAGCTTTGGATGTGTCAGCTGTGTTGCTCCTAATTCTTTCCTAATCTTCAGACAGTTACAAAAGATTTCCCGTGTGGCTGGGGTAAACGGCGGGCCGTAGCAGCAGTGGTTTATAATCCTTTCAAGAACGTTGCTTTTGGTCTTTAAAGTATCTGTAGGTTATGTCAAGAGTATTTTTTTGGAATCAGGGACAACCCCCATGCAGTGCTTAAGCAGATTAAGATCGCTGTGCAGCTTTTCTATTTTTAGTTAAGAAGGTCCCTGAGGATGTAAGCATGGGTTTTCCTCATTTCCCAGCTGCAGGAAAGAACATGAAATGGTTATTCCTTTGCTTGTGTATGATCAAAGAGTCCTTTGCAGAGGTGTGATTCCACATCAAGAATTCAGGGTTTCATCAAAGCTGCTGCTCTACTGGCCCACATAAGGTATTTGTTTAATGGAGCTGCTTATGTCCCACACACCTCAGCATTAAAGCAATGATAAAAACAAGCAAAGCACATAACCAAGAATGGCTACTGCTCTCCCCTACCAGTACAGGATTTGGGGATATATGTAGATATAGGTCAGTGAGGTAGCACCACCTGCTTCTGCAGGCAAGCTCTTGAGTTTGTGTGTGTGTTTGTGGTTCATGATTGTTTTATCAAGTCCCGGTGATGAACAAACTAATGATGAGTGATGATGAGCTAATTATTTTGGTTCTGTGTAAGTGTTCCTTACACAAAATAGAAGGATAATACAGGATAGAAGATGCACAAGATAAGGTAAAATCTCTTATAGGTTACATCTTGGAAAAAAATCTAATTTTTTACACTAAAATTCCAA